TGGTGGATCTCCTCGTCCGTCCCTATAAACTGATCCGCGAGCTTGAGGAACTCGGTCACAGTCTTGGGCTGATTAACAACCACATGCCACTTTAATTCTTTATAGATGATGCCTCGCTTGGCCGCAGTGAGCCGAACTGCGGGGTCCAGGTCGGGTATTTGCAAACAAGCGTCGTTGAATCGCTTGATATAACTTCGGATGGACTCCCCTTCCTTCTGGACTATGCCAAGGAGGCTCTCTTGAGTTCTTGGGCATCTCTTGCTGGTGACAAAGTGGGAAACAAAGACTTGCACAAACTGTGCCCAACTGCTTATCGATCCGGGCGCAAGGTTTCGGTACCATGTACGGGCTACCCTTTGAAGGTGGTGGAGAAATCCACGCACATATAGGATTCACTGGCCCTTGCCAGATGCATCTGGGACTGGAAGGCATCCACATGGTCGTTCGGGTCAAAGGATCCATCATACTTATCCAGTGGGGGAAGTTTGAAATCCTTCGGCATAGGAATGGCAAGAAGTTCTGGCGACAGAGGAGAAGGAACTGAAAGAAGTGGAGTAACTTTTACTTCGCCCGAGCTTACCTCTTCCTTACTCCGGAGCTCGGGCTGATCGTGAGTGGGAGCTCGGCGAGCTCGACGGCGCCTCCGCTGCTTCCTTGTTGGCTCGGCGTTGGTGCTGCTGACTTCAATATGACCGAGCTTGATGGGCCCAGGGAGGCGCTCAGACTGTTGTTGGTAGCTGCAAACTGAGGGCCCTTGCCTCAAGTCTGCGGCCAGCACCTCGAACTGGTTCTTAGCAAGTGGGAGCCCGAACTGCGAATGCTAAGGCGACGCGGGCCTAACTGGCTGGGAGGCCCCCGACCTGACTGCAGGTTGCGAGGCAGGGGTAGCTGGTCTCTCTTTCCTGCCATGAGATGATGCCGAGGTCTCTCCCCGGCGAGAAGGAAGTTCGTTCCGACGACGGGGCTTGGCCTGCTCCGTGGCCGGATGCCGAGGAGGGAGTGGCTGCTGGGTCTGAGGCAGTGGTGGAAACTGCTGTTGATATTGATACTGGGAGACTTGGTGCAACACTTGCTGTTGATAAAGTTGAAGCTGCTGGAACTATTGCATTTGAGCTTGTATAGCTCACATGCATTGCATGAAGTCCTCAAGCTGGCTTTGGCTGGCCACCAGAGGGATGATGGAGGGTTCAACGAAGGTTTTTCCGATCGTAGAGGGGAGTGGAACATTCACGGGTGTCACTGTCTGAGGCACATTCAGACTGGGAACTCCGTCCGCAGAGAGGGGGATGGTGAACTGTCCAATGCAGACAGTGGGAAGCTGGGGTTGATCCTTAGAGGCGTTTCAGTTTGCACCTCGTCCGGCATTGCTGGAAGAAGCCATGGATGCTGAGTTCTGAGAGTTGTAGTGGTTGGAGGAAAGCTTTTTGCAGCGTTTCCCACAGATGATGCCAAATGATGCTGCGCGATCCGGGCACTCCTAGCTGGCGGAAACCTAGCTCCTAGCTGGTGACAGATGGTACCTGAGGCGAAGAGGAAGGTGAAGAATTCCCGGGGAGCTCGCTCGGCGGGGACACTCTGATGCTTAAGTTGGAACTCTGAGAAAACTGAAGAATACAAAGAGCTGAGAGTGTAGATGGCGCAAGTTCAATACCTCCTCTCTTCGAGGGTCGGGGTCTTTTTATATTGAAGATCTCTCAAATCAAGCGTAACCGCCTCTGCCACAACCGTTATTGCCAAAGCCGAGGTGGCGGATGTGGGCAGCCGTTGCAGGGTACGGACCTGTCAGGCGTGCCACATCTGGCAGAAGTGGCAGGCACGACGCCGCCTGACAAGAGACGTGGGCGCAACCTCCAGATTCGGTAGGTACTATTGTCAGGCATATCTTTTCTATAGGTTGCCGAGCTACTTTGCATCGAGCTGCCTTGGTCCGAGCTACCCTACACCGAGGTGCTAGGGTAGCTGAGGTGCGAGTGCTTGAGGCGAGCCTTAGGCAAGTATGGGCAGGAGCGTTAATGGGGCTATTCGGGGCCCACTGGGAGGAGCTCGGGTCTCGGGAGTCCTCCCCCCTTAGGGAGAATTTGGAGTACGCTAGATGTTTGTTCTTGGCGAGCTGCTACATCCACTAAGTTGCATTGCTGGGCTCCGGCGAGTTCAGTACGCCGAGTTATGGCCAGGCTGCCACGCTAAGCTGTCACTTATGCCAGGTTGTACCCATGTGTTCCCGTGCTACGATGTCGGGCCAAATCACCCTCCATCAATGCGTATCTTGATTTTTCGTCCATATCCATATATATTCAAAGCATATCCCGATACGTCTCTTAAAATTATCTTTCTAATACACCTTACGTTTTCGATACTTTGAAACTTAGTTTTATGCTTATCGCATGTCTTGGATGGCCTTCTGTGCTTATCACAAATCCCAGGTAACTTTTAAACTCATTGCAAGTATGCAATGGTTATTAAGCTCATCGCAAGTTCTGGGAGATTCTGCATAATGTTAGATTTGCGGTGATTGGGGTGATAAAGAACTACATGTACTTGCATAGAGCATGGGACATATTGAACTGAGCAATAAGAGATTGCTTAAGAAGTGTTCTACAATGGGCAATGGTTGGTCTAATTCACGAAGGTGAGTTACAGAAACCCATCTCCTAGGATAGACACAAACACGTCTCCACTTCAATAGCTGAGCAAGGAATGAAAACCTCTGGAGCAGCCTTCCCGCCATTTCTTTGTTATAGGCGCCATAAACATTGATTTCAATAACAGCTAAAGATGGCTTAACCAAATCGGTGCTCAGTGTTGTTGAAACCGTAAGCTCCATGACTTGAGTTTGAGCTTTGGAGATAGAGAGGCTTCAGTTTGAGAAATTGTAATCTAGCTAGATAATAGTCCAAATCATCATCACATTCTATATTTCTATTGAGAAGGTACAAAAGAAAACCATAGACAAAAACAGTTCGGCTTTTATCAGGGCAACACCGTTCGAACAGTCCCTTGCAATCTTGTATTGCAAATATCTCCCATGAAATAAATCTAAGTACGGAATTATAAAGGTTGTTGAAACGGGCTTTGCTCTGACCATTTGTTTTTCATTGTATAGGCTCACTTTGGAAATTGTCTATCAACGAGTCCAGTCTGGGTTGGGATAGAGTGGTCTCAGTCCCGAACCAAATATTAATTGGAACAAAATCAGACTCAGAACAGTCCCGGTTAATAGTCCCATTCATACTGAAAACTATATTTATTTATTTAAATAATAAATAAAAATTAAAAATTTGAGTATATAACCTTAATAAAAATGATAATATAATCGGTTCCAATTCTTGGTTTGGAACAGGCAAGAACCAAACCAACCCAATTGTTAATTGGGACAAAACCATGAAACCATAATCACCATAATCCATTTGGTTCTGGCATTCGGACATTCAGGCAGAACTGATCCGTTGATAGCCTTAGGAAGAATACAAATATAAGTATTTACAATACAAAACCTTGTATATTGTATTTATAAACCTTATATTTGTACTAAATATTTATATAGGTTCAGTTTTTGGAAAAGAACAAATACTATGCACATATAAAATATTACAAAATATATGGTTTTTCACTCTTACTTCTTTCAAAATTAACAACCATATGTACACTCTGGAAAGTGTGCAAATAGAAGATTTAAAATACAAAAGAAGATTCAAAAATACTGTATACAAGGTTTAACACTAAACATTTTTTTTTATATTTGCACTCTTCCCAAACTTACCCTTAATTACAGCTGTCTCTATTATATACCTGTTCAATCCTAGCTTTTGAGTGTTGACCCTGGTTTTATTCCAGCACGTCCCCATCTAAACTCTGCCAAACTGAGCTTTTAGTTTCCTTATTTTGATGAATATACCCATGAAATAATGAAATATCTAAAAAAGACAGATAAAAGGGTGCTTCAGGCCGAAAAAGAACATTTGTCTGTGACTATGACCCATTACAAGAGAGAACTTTGTCAGCTAAGCCCATATTTATATCTATTTGTTAATTAATTAATTAATTAATTTTTTTTTGGGGGGTAGGGGGGGTTGAGGGGAACTAGGAAGCTTTGTGATTGTGATAGGTAAGGAAAGAAGAATTTATTAAACGGGTCCAATCTGACCTGATATAATACCATGATGACTAAATATGGAGTCGGTAGGTATACGAGTCTACATTATGAGTCATGAGATAGCAATTTGGTGGACCAATTTTGAAGAGGGTTTACTATGGGTTGGACCAAAACCTCTATTTAGGGCTTTTGATACGTCATGAGATGATTTGGGTTATTTGGGTCAGATTCTCACCTGCCCAACAAAACAAAAGTAGAAAACATGGAGCACCAGATTTGGATAAATTTGGGCTTGGACAGTTTTGATGTTCAACTCAATGTCTCAATCAACCAAATACAGAGAGGTCAAGTAACAGGGGATGCGGGTCCCCTCCCCTCAAGGCTCAAGGACTATCCTCTAATTTCCAATTCCTCAACAACCTGGCACCAGCAGGCATGCCTAGAGTCTATTACTTGCGTAGGGACCATGAGCCCATCAACTGAAATGGACTCAATAGAGACATATAACCTGTCTTTGATTCCGTGGACGTTTATTGAAACAATTGTTTAGTTTCATTATTTATCAAATAAATAATATAAAATTGAAACGTTTTGATTTTTGTGCAGAGAGCATATAACAGAAACATTTAAAGTGAAAAAGTATAATGGTCTATCTATAAACGCCCACTGAACCAGAGGCATACATAGTATTTAGAAATTCAAGTATTCTGGGCTAATAGCATATAAAACGAAAATGAAGAAATCTGTAGACGATTAACCGTACCCACAGTTGTAAATAAACAAAAAAAACCTTCAAATTCCCAAACACACTTTCAAGAGAAAAAAAATCATTTACTTCCATAAAGCGAAAAAAAGCAGCCTGAGTTAATGATAAATGTGAAAAAGAAACAAGAAATTCTTCCAAAAGTTAAAAAAAAAAAAGAAAAATCAAAGAAGAATGTCCATTTCAGTCAGGATAAACAGCAATAAAGCTCCTCTAAAGAAACATCAACCACTCTTCTAAACACCTCCTTACAAGCAACATAACACAGAAACTAAAATGCAGTAATATGCTCAAAAACAATCTCCTTTGAGTCCTTTTCTCATCACAGAAAAGGGAAACCAGAGCTCTCTTTGCCAGCTGTAATAGAATGAAAAAATAAAAGAGAAAAAAAAAAGATACATAAGAATAACACCCCTTTGATGATTACTCACCTTTTCCTTTTTCCCTCTGCATCTACCCTTTATGATGCTTTAATTTATACCAAATTAAATTAAACCAACTTATGAACATGATTCCTAATTTTCTCTTTGGTGATCTAAATCAATCTCTACTTTCTGAAAAGAAGAAGAAGAAGAAACATGAATCTGTACTTTCTCTCACCCACACCTTTTTGAGAGGAGGACCAAGAAAACAATTAGAAAAACTATGGATGAAAGCCCAATTGCCACTCCAAGCACAACCTTACTCGGTCCATGGTGATGATCATTCTTGCCCTTATCGCTACTATCTGAACTATCATCTTCGCTGTCACTGCTGCTATCGTCTGAACTCGATGACCGCTCAGCCGGGGGCGATACGGGCAGCCCATCTTTATCGCAGCGTGCAATTCCAAGCTTCAGCTTTGACGAAATAATTGAGTGGTTGTAACAGAGATTGCTATTTCCACCTACTTTGAACACGACCAATCTCTTTATGAAGGACCCATTGAAGGGCATGACCCCCCGGAAGTTATTGTTTTCGAGATTGAGATACTTCAGATGCTTCATCTCCGAGAGGAACTTCGGAATGGTCCCATTGAACTGATTCGAGCTCAAATCGAGGTGAACCAAACCTGGAATCTCCGACATTGATTCGGGTATCGGACCTGACAAGGAATTGGAGGCAAACGACACATTTCTGAGTGACATCAGATCTCCCAGCGAAGTGGGTAGCTCACCAGTAAGTGCATTTGAAGAAAGATTCAAGAACTCAAGGTCGGCCAGAAGTGTCAGCGAACTGGGCACCTTCCCTTTGAGTCGATTACCGGAAATATCTATGTGGGTATAGTTCGAATGCCATCTTTTGGGGAGAAAACCAGTAAGATTGGTGTTTGAAATCGTTACTGAGCTGAGCTTCTTCAAGTTCCTGAGTATGATCAACGGTCCACTGGCGCTAATTGTCACGTCTGAGACAGTTAGATCCACGAGGTTCTGTAAGCGGCCGAGGAAAACGCCCGACAATTTATGCAGACTGTTGATGCAGGAGAATGAGCGGAGATTGGCGATGAGCTCGACGGGGAAGTGAACCGGAGGGATATGGCAGTTGAGGAACTCGAGATCTTGCAATGTACTTAAAGATTTTAAGGCGGTGATGGACATCTCGACGTCGTCGGAGCAGTTGACAAGGCGGAGAGTGACGAGGTGGCGGAAGGGCCTGCTGGAGTCACAGACAGTAGCATTGTGGAGGGAAGGTTGAATGCAGGGGTCTTTGGCGGTGGGGATGTTGAGGGATTGGAGGGCAGTGAGCTGTTTGGGATCAAGGGTTGATGAGGAGGATGGGGGTGAAGGCTTTGTAGGAGTTGTAGCTGGAGCTGGAGATGAGGGAGAAGGCTCTTCTGTAGGTGTTGCAGCTGGAGCTGGAGAGGTGGGTGAAGGTTTGGTGGGTGCTTTAGCTGGAGCTGGAGATGAGGGCAAAGGTTTTGCAGGTGTTGTAGCTGGAGCTGGAGATGAAGGTGAAGAAGGTTTTGTAGCTGGAGCTGGAGGTGAGGGCGAAGATTTTGTAGGTGTTGTGGCTGGTGCTGAAGGCAAAGGTGAAGGTTTTGTGGGTCTTGTTGCCGGAGCTGAAGGTGAGGGTGGTTTGATTGGAGGGGTTTCCGGTGGTGGTGATGAGGTTGAGTTGCGGGGGAGAGAGGAGGAGATGGTGACGGTGGAGGATAAGAGCAGTAGGAGTAGGATAAGAAGAAATGGGGATTTGGGTTCCATTGCAGAGAGAGAGAGAGAGGATGTGATTGGGTTGTCTGCTTTATTTCAGGTTCAGGGAGGTGACATTAAAGCAATAAATTCTGTGATACGAGTATTTGAATGTAAAAAAGTAAAAAAAAAAGGGGAGATCGAGCTTGAAGAAGGGACAGACGGTTGGAATTTGGAAGTATGCAAATAAAGTAACCCAAAGCTATGAATCATGAGTTATAATAACTAAGAGTCTAGAGGTTTTCTGGTATACGAAGAAAGGATTTAGGATTAAGATAAGTAATTAGGCAAATTTCGGATCTGGGTAGGTAAATAGGATTTCTAGAAGGTAAAAGCTCTCTGGGAATAGTGCATAAACCATTTGGGTTAAAGTCATATGACCACAGTAATTGTTGGCACATACGTATCTGGGTCCTCAACTCTGAGCATCCGATGGATGCGGACCCCAGATCAAAACTATTGGTCCCGTGGCCCCCCAGAAGAGCCTAAATCGCTAGGTTCCTATTTCCTAATCTCCAGATCGGAATGGGGGAGAGGGGGGAGCCCTAATTCAGCTTGTAAAGCCATTAATGGTGATAGTTGAAACTTTACTCTCCCCCCAAGCAAGCTAGAAAAAATATCCTTTATTTAGGAATTTGATTTGGACGCATCAATTTTACAGTATACTCGTTAGATCAAAAGGTAAGAGCCTCTGTTTTTCAACTTCTATCCTGTTCAAAGAGTGAGTTCTTTGGAGGTTTAGGGTTTAACAAATTACTGTGAGTCTGTGAGTACTAGAGGATAGGATAAGATGCATGGATAATCACAACCTGGGGCCTGGGGGAAACCGGATTTGCTCCTGGTCCTGGCTGGGGATGGTCCCTAGCATCTGACCCATCCAAGACAGCATCAACATAGCCGTAGGTGCAACTTATGAGTAACCAATTCCGATGCATGTTGTAGATTCTTTTTTTTTTATGTACGTAGTATGTTCGTATGTAAGTGACCGTTGGAGACCGTGCGAGGAATCCGCCTTCGATTGGTCAACCTTTTCGTCCCATGCCAAGTTCCCAATTGCCATTTACCAAAAAGCCCTGATCACAAACAGAAAGGGAGACGATTCAATACTATACTGCACTATCCAGATCCAAATATCCAATCCATACACATATCATATGTGTGGGTACCTATCCACCCATCAACGTGGAACGTCATCTAAAAAGTTGGATAATCATTGTGGGCAAGATCCACAAATTGGGTCCATGGACCATTATTTTAAAAGGGCCCACCATCTGAGCCATTATTGATTGCTACAACATGAGAGTAAGTGCAACATACCACAATATGTATAATTAGTAGATTTTTAATACCGAAGTTCAACAAATTCTTCTGTGTGGAGTGTGGACGAACATGGTGAATGTACACCAGATCTCTTTTCTAATTCATGAATGTTCTGTAGCCAACCCCCCCCACCAAAAAAAAAGAGAGAAAACAGGGTTGTGGTAATATGGGGTATGGGGTCACTGTAACTTTGGAGGAGAAGCTCTGAGCCGCGTCTGAAGATACTGTCTTTAGAACGTTATTTGCCCCCACTCAGTTTTATTGAGTTTTTGGGTTACAGGCAAATTCGTTCTCGGGATACAATAGAGCCTTGGGCGAGAATCTGCAACCAACAAAGTTGAAGAGTCTCCAAAGAAACCTTCTGTGAAACTATAGCAGACCGGACTGAGAGAGAGAGAGTATGTGAATTTCGAAATTGTGTGTTTTGGAGTCTGATTCATGCTCCTTAAATAATTTGTGAAGAGGTATGAAGAAAAGGTAGGTGTTGGTTTAGAGAAGGCACCTTGAACAGTCACAATTTCAAACATTGCGACTGTTTAAAAAGTAATTAACAGTTAATGACTGTTAACTTTGAATTGTGCCTCTTGATCACACCCGATCGAATTGTGACTGTTGATCTCATCAACGGTGATCAACGGTCAGCAACGCACCAAAACCAAAGCCGTCCATTGCTAACCACGTGGGTGCTAGTTGATCTCATCAATTAGTAGAGGCGAGCAAAGTGTGCCTCTAAAGCGCCTCATTGCGCCGCACACACATGTGCGCACGCGTTGCGCGGTATCGAATCCCCATACTCTCTTCTACTAATTCTAAGGAGTGTAAATCAATTCTTATTGAAATACAGAAAACAAAACTTATAATTTTCCAATGTGGGACAAGTTCAAAACTGGGTTTTGTAAGAGAAAAACTVAWTTTYCAAWYAARTGTGYARGTGCAATTTCTCATGTAATTGACCAATCAAACCCATTGGATTTAATCTCTTATGAGATCAAAATCCAACACTTGCCACCTATCTAGAACTCAAGACCTAACACAAAAAACGGATCCAACCCCAAATGATAGATATAACTTCCCAATTAGGCCAAAGGCCTAAAGTCTATAATATTATATAACATGACCCCGTAACAAGGTGACTTCACACCGTTAAGGGTGTTTTCACACTATTTTTCAGCTACACCTTTACATCTTCATTCTACTTATACAAGGATCATGAGTTAAACTTCCCTTTTTGTTTTGGCAAGAAGAGTCATGAATTAAACTTCAGGGATAATAATACCAAATTCACCATTCTCAATTTTCATTTTCTTCTCCAGCAAGTGATACAGCAATAGCATCAATGGAATGGGTCGGTAAGTTAAGCATGTCAATTGAAGTCACCCTCCCCAGAAAAAATAAAAACACAAAAAAAAAACAGCTATATAGCCTATAGAAACTCAAAATCCTATCTTTCAAGAATATGCAACTCCAGCTATAACATATATGTAGCTGAGTGTGTTCAGAAACCCCCAAATAACATCGTTCAATATTACATCAACAAAAGTACAATTGATCCTACACTCTGACATATTGACATTTCAAAGGCTTCAATTTTCTAAAGATGAAATTGCGTACCAAGCCATGTTATACTCTCCAGTTCATTTTGTTTAAACTCAACACAACAAAAGGATTGACAATGCTACAACTCAGCTTCTGCCTTTAAATTCCCAAAAGGAACTCAGTTACTTGTGTGGTACAAAACTTTTGACCATCTTCACCTATGACAGAAAAAGCTGCAAATAATAAAGGAATGCAAGCACCAATTCATTCATGATGATTCAAGGGAGTGGGAAAACCAAAGCACTACAAATCTTGCTTCTGATGGCTGCCAATCGGCTATACCTGCCAGTTTTGATCTATGAAATTGAGTAAACCTTCACTACTTTGGATGTGTCACAAACAACAAGGTTTTCTGAATTGGTCGGAGTGGTGCAGAGCCAATTTACCTGCCAGAAGGAAGAATCCTTGATCAGGATCTGCTATGGAAGCATACCTTTATCAAGTCAAGCAATATTTAAGCAGAAACATTACAATCTAGACTCTGCAAAATAAGAAATAAAAATCTCACCTTTTTGCTTATGTTAATGTTCAGCTTTAAAAGATCACTGTTGTTGCTGCTTTGTCCTGCATCAAGATGTTTAGACCAATCCCAAACCTTTACAAGTGCATCATTTCCACCTGAAATTATAAACCTTCCTCTCTCTTCAAACAATGAGAATGCCCTGTAAATTTGATCATCTTTGGAAGAGTGAATGAAAACACCCTCAATAAGCTAAATTTTCTTCAAAAGTTATTCATGAAATGAAAATACTTACACACATGATACGGCAGCAGCATGTCCTCCTGAAGCATAGTCTAAATGAAATCTTTTTCCTCTGCTTTGATCATTGGTTGCAGCATTTTCAGTTGGCACACTGTTTCTAGATCTTGGTTGAGATCCTTTTCGCTGTTGTGAGGAACTCCTTGACTTAGCAGCAGCAGCAAGTTCACATTCAATATCTATCACATCGACAACACCATCACCCCTAGCCACCACACAAATTTTGCTTGATTTCTCTAACATATCCACTTCAGGAACTGCTATGGCATGAACAAAAGCGGGGTTGAAACATTGACTTTCATTACCATGAACATCAACATCAGGCATACCTGCAATGCATCAAATGATCTTAAGACTTAACACATACAAGTTACATATGCCAAACTAGAGAAGTTGTACTGGATGACTTTTGTCAAAGACCTTATTGCAAGCATTTTGCAACTTCAAATTTCATGACTAATTAGATTTCCTAGAATCATAAGATCTAAGGAATATTAGTCCATTCAACATAATCTATAGCATGGCAGGAAACTGATGCATACAAGGCATGGTAAGCAATCAAAATCCCGGTTTCCTGATCGACAATCCAGGTGAGAAAATAAATAATCTTTTACATAATAGGTTAGCAATCTGGAGGCCAAGGATTAAAATTCTGTTTTTGAAATTTGATTTGATCAGAATATTTATGCTAAATTTCTGCTTCAGTCCAACTTAAAGATAGTTCAAAAGTAGAAGCTAGAACTTGATCTGGACCACCCAAATTCAAACCAGCCTTTGACAAACTGCCACAGCTATGTTTAACCATCTCAACAAAAACCTTCATACAAAAAGGAAATATTGAGAGCTCTAAGAGCCCGAAAGGATATGCATAAATGGTTGCAGAAAAATGTCAAAATCTTGTGATCACCTAATAAAACATGGACATGCTAGTGTTCCAACCAAAAAGGAGATCACCAAGTGTTTTCAATTTAAAACAAACAGAGATGCTCTCTTTGTTTTATTGAAAAGTCGCAAGAATTTGTGTGACAACGATCACAGCAGATGTTTGCTCATAACAGATCACCTCTTATACTAGTGGTAAGCTACTTTTACAGTCTCCTGCCATTTTCAATGGTCACTATTGCACGACTGTTGAATAAAAAAGAGCTTTGCTAAGTGTAGACACTCCATTTTTGCACCCTTTAGTCTTTCTGCAGCACTTCGAGCTTCAACCATTCTTCAGCTAACGTCTCAGCCCACCCGGGGGCATTCTTGGATTTTCACAGAAGTTTGAACCTCTAGGATCCGAAACCATAGGTACGTAGAGCCCAAAAATCCAAATCCAACACTGTTTATCGCTTCATCTTAAGACCCGAAACCAGAACCGATTCCGATCGTCCAATCGGGATCATTTTGATCTTGAAACTTATCTCACTACAAATCAGAAATACAACACCATAGGTACGTAGAGCCCAAAAGTCCAAATCTAATGACACCAAGATCACCCAAATCCGACATTGTTTACCCCTTCATCTTAAGACCCAAAGCCGGAACCAATTTCGATTGTCCAATCGGGATCATTTTGATCTTGTAACTTATCTCACGATAAATAAGAAATCCAACACCATAGATGCGTAAAGCCAAAAATCCAAATCCGACGACACCAAGATCACCCAAATCCGGTACCAATTACCACTTCATCTTAAGACCAGAAACCGGAATCGATCTCGATTGTCCGATCAGGATCATTTTGATCTTAAACCTTATCTCACGTCAAATCAGAAATTCAACACCATAGTACGTAGAGCCCAAAAATCCAAGTCCGACGACACTAAGATCACCCAAATCTGACATCGTTTACCTCATCCTCTTGAAACCCTAAACTGAAACCAATACCGATCATCCGATCGGGACCATTTTGATCATGAACCTCATCTCACGTCAAATCAGAAATCCAAAACCATAAATACATAGAGACCAAAACTCCAAATCCGATGACACCAAGATCACCCAAATCCGACATTGTTTACCCCTTCATCTCAAGACCCGAAGCCGAAACCGATTCTAACCGTCTGATAAGGATCATTTTTTATCCTGAACCATATGCCACATGAAATAAAAAATCCAACCTTGTAGATGAATAGAGCTCAAAATTCTGAGTCCAACAATGCCAAGATCATCCGATTCCAACACCGTTAACCCCTCCATCTTGAAACCCAATGCTATACCCGATTCAGACCCCTCCGTTTGGAATCTTCTTCACTATAACTTCAAAACTAGGGACCCTCACGACCAGATCTTTCTCCCAACCTCTAGAGCCATCTTAAAATTTAAAATTTAACCAGCTAAGGAGCCTCCAATCAATCAAACCAATCACCTAAACTTGGAATGTTCAATTTAGGTAAATTGGTGAAATTTTCCACTTATTTTCTTGATTGATTGAGAGGATCTCTCCCAAAGCTGTCTTCATAGCCCCTTCCCTCAATCAATCTCCCTCCAAAAACCCTTTAAACCTCAGCCATTGATCTCCCTATCTCAGCCCTCCATTCCCTTCTAGAATCCTCTCCAAAAATCTATAACCCCCCCCCCCCCTTTCTCACACACAAGGAAACATTCTAGCCTAGACACATTCTAACCTAGGGGGAAACCATGCAAACACCCTCACACAACCATTAGCCACGCTAAGCATCACTAGTTCAAGGCATTTCTCAATATTTTGACAGCACAATTAATTTGATGACTATGTTTGACAATCACATTTAATCAAGTCCTTCAACACAATGTTCTGAAAATTGTAATCATATTGTAAATCACAGAGAAGGTTGATCAAACTATATTGTAAATCATGACTTTCTACTTTTTTTTAGAAATTTGTCAAAAAAATAAAATAAATATGCTAAAACACAATATACAGAATTGGTTTCACCCCATTTGTAACCCATATTCATTATACTTAATACAACTGATTTTACCACTTGCACAATAGAAAAGCAAGATGATATGATAAAGTTCAACTTGAATGTCAATTACTCCACATTTTGTGGCACTTTAACCTACATATAATGGAAAATAAACTCAATAATGTTTCTAGATGGGTTTTCAAGAAGACATAAGTGTTATTGCACTTTTAGTAAAAATTATTCAGACAGATTCAAATCAGAACCCTCAGAATTCATGATTAAAATCATGATAAATCATGATATCATTATTATAAATCATAAGATTGTGACAGCTATGTTTCAAGATGTGTTATGCATGCATGTTACTTGAACTTTTAGTGAAAAATCCATATCAACGTATACCCATGCAGCGCCTGTGTTGGATAACATTGTGCAACACATAAAAGCCTAAACTTTTAAAGTAAATATGCTCCTAAATATTATTTCAAATTCTCTTATCTCAAGCAATCACATCAGACTATAATTCTCAGTGGAACTTTACCAAGATCGAATAATAAAAATTAGCATACAAGTTTTGGATAGTTCATGTTACAATTGTAAATAACATGCTTCCTAGTTAAGAATAAGCATTGAGGTATAAAATACCAAAATCCACGATTTTGTGCGGCCGCCCTTTGGAAAAGTCCCACATTACAAGTTTTGCATCAAGTCCACCAGTAATGACTGCCAAAAACATCCCAACCATAACATGTTAAGGGGGGAATCCCATATTTAGAACTGCATTAAGTACGATATTTTCATCTAACACTGCCAAATGGGAAAATAAGTTCAAGCATTGCATAATACAAAGAAATAGAGAAATTGATAAGCAATAAATTTTCACCCTCCAAACCCATCAAGATATGGAATTTCCCCCCTAACATGCAGCATGTCATAGTAGCATAAAAGTACCAAAAGTATTAGCACATTGATGAGCTTGAAATCAAGTTTTAGACTCCTTTAATTTTGTACCATCAACTATGACAATCGAGTAGCAATTAATATTGTTAAAGTAATTTAGACTATGAAAATACATGATACAGAGAACATACTTGGAATAAAATGCAGGATACCATACACATGAATCAGGAAATAAGTAAAAAAATTAGTGATAAAATGTCTGAACAATAAAATCGAATATTTCCAATAGTTGTGTACACCATTGGTGTCTGACAGAGATTGTGCAGTAGCATTGATAGAGATGCTTAAAGTAGACTATGTGTCCAGTACTATCAGTAACCAGGGACATTGATAAGATTCTATTGCACTCTGAGAGCATGGAAGGGCAAATGCATTGCAGATTGTACAGGCTCTATGGAAGGATCCTTGAATTGGAAACTGCATTCCCAGATTTTCTGGGAAAGCAAAAGTTTGTCCACCTAAACTGCAGAAACCTCATTACTACACTGGAAATACAACCTATTCAGGAGTTTCTAGTAACTAGAGTTATTACTGAAAGAATGGTAGGATCCATCTAATGGACGCCATAAAGGTTGCGGAATGGGTGGGGCGAATTTCAAAACTTTCCTACCTTCTCCCAACTGGGAATCATATTCCCTGAATTTAGAATACAATATTCAAGGATCTACTTGAACCCTAATCAAACCAGATCTGTACCAAAAGATA